TCTGCTATACTTACCTGGTATTTCATAAAGTAATTAGCATTTCTTGCTTAGCCTGGACTTATATATTTTTTTACTATTTATCCCCTTTCTGCGGCAATTTATAAACCTCAGTGTCTATTTGGAGGGGCCCTGGATGATCAGCAACTGCTGGAGTGTGGGCTGGGGAGGAGCAGAGGACCTGACTATAAGTTTTTAGGTATGGCGGAAGTTTTTGTTATTCCACCAATTTTATGGTGTGAGTAATGCATACTCATACTGTACTTGTAAAAACATTGTATATAGATGGTGTAAAGAATGTTGCTTAAAGAGTTCATCTTAATTTTATAGATCGTATCACCCTTTTACAGAGTCTCTTCCCTGAAGAAGGAGTATATACTCTGAAATGTGTTGGATTGTTGTAAACTCAGCAATGTTGGAATATTAAATATTAAATGATGGTGATATAATACCATATTGATCTTTATAAACAGTTACCTTTACATACATTTTTATGTTTGTAATTTGTATATGTTTGATACAAACTAAAGATCGATGTAAATCTTATGGATTGATGACATTAAAGGTCCACACAAATTGGGTTTTGTTTTCCAGTCAATGCTTCCACATTTGTGCAACTACAAAATCTGAGTTGCAAAAACTGTGTGGCTGGTAAGGCCTTGAATTCAGTTTTGTGATACTTAATTCCTAGATGTCTGCTAAGCTTTGACTTGGAAAATGTAACAGAAACCAATCTGTGTGGTTTAAAATAATTTGATTACTATGATTATTAGCCAATTATGGTGATGACTCTGAAACGTGTATTGGTGAAATAAATGTCCCTGCTTTCTTCAGCAAAATACATTGGGGCTGAATTGCTAAAACTGAATAGTGCAGAATCTGGTGCAGCTGTGCATGGTAGCCAATCATCTTCTAAGTTTAGCTTGTTCAACTAAGCGTTGACAAAAAAAACTGAAAGCTGCTGGTTTCTATGCAGAGCTGCACCAGATTTTGCACTCTCTAGTTTTAGTAAATCAACCCCTTTATGATCTCTCCTTTTATGGCAGGAGATCAGCATGACATTGTTATGCACTGTTAAAACTGGAATTAACAAATTTATACTTATCCTCCCTGGCGGTATTCCCGAGTGTAGCTCGGGGTAGAGTTTTAGTACCAAAAGCGGTAACCCCGAGCTACACTCGGGCTTACCATGCGGCGCTGCATAGGGAGTCCCTGCAGCACTTACCTTGTCCTTCGCTCCCACGATGTGTCCCCTGCAGCGTCCCCGGCCATCTCCTCCGGCTGATGCCGGCATCCGGCTTCTGTGTTCCGGTCCCCGTGAAAATTTTAAAAAATGTCATTTTTTTCAAAACACATTTTTCACAGTAAAACATTGCTGTTTCAACCCATTTCACATACATATTGTCCCTAGTGCTTTGTCCTGTGCCCTGCCTACATTTTGTCTGTCTTTCTGCCTGGAAACTTAGAAAAATCCATGGCGTCCAAAAAGTGTCCCTTTAGGTCAAAAGCGGTTTTAGACCAGCTAGAGAACAGCGATAGTAAATCAGAACCACTTGCAGAATTGAGTGATAATGATTCGTGGGGAAATTCGTCATCAGACACTGAAAACGATTTTGCAACTTTGCTCAGCAATGTACGAACTTGGCGCTCTATTTCAAATTTCAGTGTTTTCGGTTTGATTATATTATTGAATTAAATGTATTATTATTATATTATTATTTTTTATGATTATTTATTAAATTATAATTTATGATTTCGTGTTTCAAATTTTATCATACCCGGGATGTTTAATAGACTCTTGTTCGGACAGATTTCAGTGAGTTATTCCTAAAAATTACAGCCTACAATAAAAAAACTACATATTTCCATGCAAAATAATGGTACCGCTTTCAGCACCAAAAATCTGAAATAATCATACCGCCAGGGAGGTTAAAGAGACACTCTCCTTAAATTGTTATTTTTTAAAATCTCAAAGCATCTGTGTTACTGACTCTTGTGTCTCCTGGGCGAAGTCATAGCAATCATGCACATGCACAGATTGTTGCAACCATCCATGGCACTGGCAACAGTTGAGTTTCACACTAAAAAGCAGACTGGCAGTCAACACATAGAAAAGATAATAAAACAGTGATGCCTTTATTTCCTTCATCTATAGTTAATACATTTGTAGCCCTCTTTTGGGGGGTTATGACAAATGGTCCTCCCCAAACAGAATATTGCTATACACCTGTAGGTAAATAAGAGAACCAAAACTGTGCAGCGTAAGTTTATTAATGCAATGAAGAAATAAATAATTTCTTAATTTCATTGCATTATTAAACTTATCTTTCTGGACTGATATTTCAAAAGTTTATTCAGTGACTTTGCACCACAAGCGCTGCACAGTTTTAGTGTCTAATATTACACATTACTTCTGATGGTTGGTAGAGCTGCTGTGGAACTGGTCCTTGTCTTGACATATGCTATGCTACATTGAAGAAATTAGCTCCCTGAAGTCTGTTTTTAAATAAAAGAACCAGAAGCTCTGCTAAGTGGAAGAGTGACTTTGATAATAAGGTTGGCAGTGCCTCCACCCAGGACAGGGACTCTGTGAGAGGGAATTCCTTTCCTGGGTAATTAACCAGTAATCTATTCAAAGTAATTAGGAGCAGAGGAAATACTGCAACCAGTATATAAAGCTGGCCATACATTATACAATTTTCTTGCAAACATTTTCTTTAGAATTACCAAATCCATATAATATAAGGTCAACTCTTAAAAACCCTTTCAATTTGTATCCAATCAGACAAATTGAAAGTAAATCTAAAGAATATTGTACAGAAATCGTACAAGAAAATTGTATAATGTACAGCCAACCTAACATTAAGCATAAGTAAAAACAATTGAAGAAAGGGCGCACCAGCCTAATGCATTACTTGAGTATAAAACTTTAATAGAAACACCAAAATATACTCAAAAAACAATTTATGTATCAAAAGCATCATAATCACAAAGCGACCAGGTCACCAGGTCAACTCCAAAACCTCGAGAAGACCCTCAGATGGCCGACGCATTTTGAGGGACAGTTTCCTCTTCCTCAGAGCCAGTCCTACCTGCCACACAAACCGTCTTTATAAAGTGAAATGGTGGAATCACATGGTGTTGGACAGACCCCTCCCACTGGAGTGGGATAAATAAATACAAATCCAAATACATTGACACTATAACTGCAGGGCTGCACCCTGCTGGGCAGTTGGTGACAACTGACAACTCTCCAATAATCCACAGGACACATATTCACGAGTTCCCTCAGCAGCACTCTCTAATTAAGGAATATGTCTATAAAGTGAATGCACCACTGGAGATATCAAGTATATAGACCTCATTCAACCATTTATGTAAGTAATTTATGCATTTTGAATATCCCAATATCCCAATGGTTCATTAAGTTTTTAATATTATGAAGGGTTTTATGCAATTATAGTGTCAATGTATTTGTAATTTTTTATGTATTTATTTGTGACACTGTGGATTTTTTAGGCTATTTGTTTCTCTGATCACACTTCATGACAATGCCATAACCAGCTATGTATACTATGGGCCATTATCCATACACACCCCCAGTGAGAGGAGTCTGCCCAACACCACGTGATTCCACCATTTCACTTTATAAAGTCTGTTTGTGAGGCAGGCAGGACTGACTCTGACGGATAGGGAATTGTCCCTCAAAATGTGTCAGTCATCTAAGGGTTTTCTCGAGTTGATCTGGTGACCTGGTCGCTTTGAGAATATGATGCTTTTGATACATAAAATGCAGTTTACATTTGGGTTCCTCTCCGACCCTTAGACGGCAGCAAGGCCTGTGGGGGAGATGGATGCCTAAAGACCTGTACTGTTTACATTGGGGGTCCTCAAACTACGGACCGCGGACCCGCACCACTCACCTGGCCTCTCTCTCTCCCCCTCTCTCCTCTTTCTCTCTCTCCCTCTCCCCCCTCTCTCTCCCACCTCCCCCCTCCTCTCTCTCCCCCCCTCTCCCCCCCTCCTCTCTCTCTATCCCCCCCCTCTCTCTCCTCCCCTCTCTCTCTCTCCCCTCCTTATCTCTCCCCCCCTCTCTCTCCCCTCCTTATCTCCCCCCCCTCTCTTTACATTGTACACAGATCTGACCCAACAAGGTGTCCTGCATTTACCGTATTTTTCGCTCCATAAGACACACTTGGGGGGAAATGTCTATGCATCTAATGGAGCGGCCGGCCCAGTATTCCCGCCACCGTTGTATGTCCGCAGTCTCTGGTCATCTCAGGTACTATGTCTGCAGTCTCTGGTCATCTCCTGTACTGTGTCCACATTTGTTCATAGTTTTTTTTTTTTAAACTATAGTCCGGCCCTCCAACGGTCTGAGGGACAGTGAACTGGCCCCCTGTTTAAAGAGTTTGAGGACCCCTGGTTTACATCATCCCACAACTCCTGAGCGCAGGTGACTTTCTCTGTATTAACCATAAGTATATAGATGTGCACCAGTATGGAAATGATACAAGCTTCATTTATAAAAATATTAATAAAAGTACATACATCCAATGTACAAACATGCTGGTGGAATTGTGTGCATATACACTGGTATACATAGTTATTAATAGAGATAACTCCAGATGAATGTTACAGCAAAGTCCAGTTGCAGTGGCCTCTGAGGAAGATCATGATGCGGCACCTGTCTTTGCGTCAGAGGCCTGAAGACAAGATTAGTAGTGATGGGGAGATCTTCCAGCTGTTCTCCAACCTGGAACTTGGAGTCAGCCTATCTACTCTGCACTTTGGTCCCTCCCCAGTAGTTTCTTATCTGACATGCTGCCAGACCTCTATCTACCTGAAGTGGCCATTGGGTGCCTAACCTGGCCCTTGCCTATGCTGATTATTGAATCCTAAGCTACAACTAGCTATAGAATCCCAGACATGAAGAGACATGGTTAACTAAAATAGCAGGAACTGTGTATACACCATATCACAATAAACAGGTTCACCTACTAACAGGGGAGGACTGACAACTCATGGGGCCCCCAGGCAATAGGGGATCATGGGGCCCCTGTGTCCTTGCCCACACTCAAAGCACACCCAACAAAGCCTATAAAAGGTACCAGGGGCATTTAATGGACCCCCATACTGACCCCAGGCCCTCGGGCAGTGCCCGAGTACTCGAATGGTCAGTCTGCCCCTGCCTACTCATATACTGGATGGTGACCACTACACACATACAGCAGCACAGACCTAGCTATTTTGCACTGTGCTTGTGAGAGAATAACATTAGGATAGAGATACTCTGTCTTTCACAAAGATTCAGCAACACACTCAAAAAGTTATGGGCAGCTGCGGTTAAACTTTTGGAACATAAGAATAGTTGCAAAATAGCCTCTTCTGATATTTGGATTTAGCAGCATGGACAGGTTATGTGACTGAGACTTTCTCTCTCTCTGTCCTCTTCCACCTTCTGGTGTTTCTGACCTAGAGACACTGAAGATGGAAGTGTTGTACATAAACAATCTTAATGAACAGCAGAGCTATTTACAGAGAGTAGAGAGCAGCAGATCCCTATGGAGCTAATATCCTTAAGGACATACAAGGTTTGTGCAGTCCCATAACTGTCAATAGACATTACAAGCTTGTGGTGGGAGCTGCAGACAAAGCATAATGGTGTGGCGGGTAAGGAAAAAAGTAGTTTTGAGCAAAATACTTAGAAATTTCAAATCCTAGTAACTTTTTAGTAACTTTTTTTTGGATACATGTCAGCATTACCTACTAACATATTATTTTTTTTATTTTTTTCAATAATGTTTATTTTTATTTTAGATAAAAGTACAATTAGTACAATAATCTACATGTGAGTATCTGCAGACGTAGTCGCCGTAGTTACGTCATGACAGTAATAACAATAGAAGTAAAATGTATAATACAGTATAACTGGTCGTTAACGTAGACATTACATGAAAAGAGAACATATAAGTCCTGTAGTAGTAAAGCAGTAGTATGAGGTGCCATCCATGTAAGAGAAAAAAAAGAAGAAAGGAGAAAAATAAAGAATAAAGTAAAATAAAGATAATAGAAAAGTGGAGTTATTGTACATATAAGGTAGTGTAGGCTGTAAGTACAGTTATAGGAAAGAAATCCATCAAGCGTGACACTAGTAGCCATAATCAGGCATACCAGGTAAGACAAGGTTTCCAAGATTTCTCAAAGGCAGGCAATGTGTCAGATCAACAGCTAGAATTCTTTCATATGGGTAGTGTTATATGGTATACACAGCTTCTGACAGATTAGGGGTTAGTTCTTTTTTCCAATTTCTTGTAAAGGTTAATTTAGCTGATAACAGGAGGTTGGCAATAGTTTTGCAATAAAGGCAAAGGACAAGGAAAACAATCTATTCCTAGATTTAATATAGCCAGACCAGGATTTGGGGTAGTAAAGAAGTGAAATGTCCAACAGGATTTGAAATATTAATAAATAAGACCACAGTATGTGAAATAAATTACCCATAGAGCTATAACCTCTGTAGCAAAGGGAAAAGCAAACAGGATATATTTTAGCCAACTTATAGGGTGTAAGGTACCATCTCATGTTGATCATCAAGGCCAATTCCCAGTGGTTCACACAGTGAGTAATATTATATGTGTATGTTATGACATACTGCCATTGAGAGTTAGTGAAGGACATACTGAGTTCTGTCTCCCATTTGAGCACAGAATTATTCTTAATAAACTTGGATTTATTATGTAATAAATTGTATATTAGTGATAAACCTTTTTGTGGTTTCTGGAGGCGTGTTAGGAAATACCACATTTTAGGGTGAAGGCAAACCTTGGGTAATGGGTGAGATACTAAACAGTGTCTAATATGTAGTAACATGAAGTAAATTGTGTGAGGTAAGTTAAACGTATTTTTTATAGCTTCAGGAGTTTCAGTGTTACCATCTGTAAGACATTCCTCAACCCAGGTGATACCATATTTCACCCAGTCACGAACTCGTAGGTTCGGAATTAAGATTTCCAGTGTGTGAATAGGGAAACAATATCAGCATGTTCGGAATGTTGAATGGATTTGATTAGTGTTCTCCAAGCCAGGATAGATGCTTTTGTGGCAATGAGTAAATCAGTTGGGATTGGTTTTCAAAGGACTGCAAGACGTAGGCGACCTAATGTGATAGTTTTAATGAGGTGTTTTTCAATGTTAGCCCATAGGGGGGGTCTCGCTTGTGGAAAAGCAATATTTCAATTGATCAGAATGAGTTGCTGTGTAATAGCCAAAGATATATACCATCCCCAATATACGTTTTAAGCAGAGAGGATAATAAGGATAGATACGACCGTTGAGTGGGAATATTCAAGGATCTAAATAAACAAGCATTTTAAAGGCTGCCAGTGTGCTGGCCCATGATAATTCAAGGCAAGGGTACTTAATTCCTTTTCTTTTTGGGAAAGAAGGGCTTTATAGTTGATTTCAACTGTTAGGGTAGATGGTAAAAGCAATTTGGATTCTGAGATAGGTGATGCTTTTCTTTGCCCAGGTGTATGGGAATTGTAAAGAAAGGACTGTAGCATGTAGAAGAGTATGAGATTTGTCTTTAACAGGAAAGCCAGTTATAAATGAGTGGGATCAAATACATTCTGCTAGAGGTTAAATGGTTTACATAGAAGACTAGAGGTGTAGACCTGGGCTAAGGGAGATGAGTAGAGCCAGTATGGCTTATAAAATCAAGCCTTGGAAACCAAATTTGGTTGGTACTTGATACACCCAGTGAACTCGGTCCAATGCCTTCTCCGCATCTATAGATAGAAGGAGAAAAGGTGTCCAACCCTGCTCTGCATAATGAATAATATTCATAAGCCGCCTGATGGAATCTGAGGTTTGTCTGCCAACAATAAACTCCATTTGGTCCGCTTTTATCAATTTGGGCATACTAGCTGACAAGCGATAGGCTAAAGTCTTTGCATACAGTTTTATATTGGATTTGAGAAGAGAGATAGGACTGAAATTGGCTGGTGAATTGGGTGCTTTCCTGGGCTTAGGAACAGTTATGATGTGCGCCCTCAACATCTACGAGGGGAAGGAGGATTGTTCAGCTGCTGCGTTAAACAATGTGGTTAGATGTGGGGCAAAGTATTCTCAACAAATTTGATAGTATTTGTTAGGAAACCCATCAGGGCCCAGGGATTTACCTTTTGGTAATGTTTTGAGTAGTATTCTTGATTGGAAAAGGGTGGATTAAGAGCAATAACTTAAGATGCTGATAATGAGGGAAGTTGAAAACAGTCTAGTAAGGTGGTAATCGCCATTGGTGATGGCTGAGGTGTGTTAGGATCCATTTTGAGATTGTATAGTGAGGCAGAATGAAAATCTGCAATGCATCTGCAAAATGTTGGGGATTAGTTAATTTTTGTTTAGTAGTGGAGTGAAACAAGTGGGGAATTTAAGATTTAGCGTTCTGTGATTTTAGACAGGAAGCTAAAAATTTCCCAGTTCTGTTGTCATGGGCATAATATTTAAGTTTGAGTAGGCGAAGTAGCCAATCATGGTTGTCACTAAGGAGTGCATGTAGTTCCATTCTTAGACTGGTGAGCGTACGTGCCATAGACAGGTTTGGAGTGATTTTATTTTGGGCATCTAGAGAAGAGATAGAAGATAGTGTTTGTTGTATTTTAGCAGATTTGCGTTTCTTTCTCCTTCGCACCTAATTGGATAATTATTCCATGCATGTATGCCTTGTATGCATTCCAAAGAGTGAAAGGATCAGTATCAGGTGAGAGGTTAAAGTAATATTTATCATGGAGCCATTGAAGGAACACATCATTAGTTGCAGGTTCTTTAGGGAGTCTATTATTGCACCGCCATAAGCAAGTGGGGTGACAAGAGTTTGCTTCCAATATTGTGATGGAGACAGCTGCATGGTCAGATCATGTGATGTTACTGATAGCAGATTAGGAAACTATTTGTAACAACCATTTGTCAACTAAGGAAATATCAATGTGTGAATAAGAGTTGTGGTGTGTCGAATAGTATGTGTAATCCCTCTCAGAAGTGTGCTGGCAGCGCCAGACATCATACATATCTTCTGTATGCAAAAGAGAGTGTAAGGAATAAGCGTGAGATACTTATTAGAAGATGAGTCTGGGTCCAGGTCCACGACCGAGTTGAGATCGCCACATACCATAAGGCTACCACTTTTGACCTTGATCAAATGATTAAAAAGTTTACAAAAGAATTTTCCCTAATAGGAGTTTGGAGCATATACCAATATTATGTTCTGACCCCCTTCATCAATAACAGAAGATTGTAAGGTAAAAGTTACCGAGTTCCTGATAGCAATGAGAACTCCTCGTTTTTTGAGGAGAAGTTGGCAAGAAAGACATGTGGGAAGTCCTTATGTTGGCATCTTGGAACTGCTGAAGCTTGAAAGTGGGTTTTTGCAGCTATAACAATATCTGCTTTGGAATCTCTTGGCTGGATGATTTAGGCCTCGAGAGTATAATTGAGAGAAGTGTCATTCCAACAAGAAGATTAGTAGCAACTTTAAATTTGACAAATACCTTAGTAGCCAGAGAAAGCAATGTACAGATAAGATGAAAGTAAATAACCATGTAGATGTGATCCAAAAGAAGACCGTGGGAATTGCCTCCTGTGATCTGGGAAGGGTAGCTTGCGAGATACCTTGTGTTGACCAAATATAGTGAAATAAAAGTGTGACAACGAACAGAGGATTGAAAACAGAGCCCTCCTTTTTAAAGAAAAAAACACATAAAACTTAAAAAGAGGTTCCACGTGGAACCAGTAGCAGTATAACTGATGACTTGCTGGGGTACTTATTAAAGTGTAACACTTAGAGCCAGGAAACAGCACCTACAAGAGAAGACAGTACGAATGGTATACCTGACTTTAAGTGTTGTGGCCCATCATAGATCATTGTTTGGAATCAATCTTGCAGGAGACTTTCCACCAATCTGGTTGGGAGTTGGAAAGTGGATGCCTAGAAGCCTGGGAGGGAAGATATCTCTGGGATTATGTTCCAAGATTTGAGTAGGTGGATGCCATATTCCATGGAGTTGATGAAGGTAGTTGAACAATCACAGATGATTTTTAGTGTGGCCAGGTACTTCAACTGATATGATATGTCATGATTACGGAGAGCTTGAGTGACAGATGTTAGGTTCTTACGTTGTTGTAGAGTATGTGCATAGACATCCGGCAGTACTTAGAGTGGAGCAGCTTTTTCTGGCAGTTGAGCCTTCTTACAGAATGCGTATAAGATACGTTCGTTGACTTGGTAGTAGTGTATCCTTATTAGGAGGTCTCTAGAAATTTCTTGTGGTAAAAAGGATGGTTTAGGAACCCTGTGAAATCTATCAATGGTGAGATCCTGAGAAGTTAGTGATAGAACAACCGCTTTGAAAAGATCGCGTACATAGTGAGATAATTGTAATGATTGAACTGACTCTCGAATACCTCTGATTTTTAAATTGTTACGCCTGCAGCGGTCTTCCAGGTCAGCTACTTTAGATTTCAGCCAGGTGATGTCATCCCCATATTTGTCACGAGCGTCCATCATGCCGTTATAGGAAGATATACATGCACTGAAGTTATCTTCCAGATGGCTGACCCTCTCTCCCAGATCGTGGACCTCTGCTGTGTACTTATGAAAGCATAAAATAACAGACTTAAGAGATGAATGCAGTGCCAGCAGCATACTGTATCTTTCAAAAGAGTATCAGAGACTGGCTGACCTGTAGTGGGAAAAGAGGTAAGCGAATCAGGGTGGCATGCATCTGGTTCTTATTTCCATGCATGGTTTTGACAATTGGTCAGGACTGGATTCCCTCCTAGGTCGGGACTTTTCTGGGCTCCAAGTGCTGGAGGAGGGCACTGGAGAGCAGCTCTCATCCTCTGTGTGTCCCATTAGGTCCGTTGACTCTGCTGGAATAAATTGGGAGGTGGCTGATAGAGGTCCAGTGGCAGACATCAGAGATGGACTCCCGGACGTCATTTTGTTGGTGACTTCTCATCATGGTGGGAAGAAGTCTGACAGTTTCTGAAGGGTAGGTGAGTCTAGCGAGTCATCGCTGTGGTGTCAGCAGAGTAGCAGGATGCCAAGGGGATGATGTGGGCTATGATGGGCTCCTGTGGATACAGATTTCTTTTGGAGTGCTTACGGAGCTACAGCTTCATGCGGCCAACTTTGGTGAGTGGTCGCCATGGCCCCCTAACATTATTATTTTGAGTAGAAACATATCACCTTTTCCCATGAATAAAAATCACCTATCCTGTGCATTTAACACAATATCAGACAAACAAAACAATATTTCATTTTTAATGTTTTAAATAGCAATACCTGCAAAAAAGGGCTAGCCTGAAGTGATCTAGTGGGACCTAATTTTCTGACTAAAGTCCCACTTTAAGAAACTTTATAATTCCCCTTTAATTATTAAATGTAGAATTGTATGTCCTCAGACCAGTTAGACTGCTAAACAACTAGGCATGTACTTTATAGGTTTATAGATCATTTCAAGCAGGTTTATCAAATTACATGTTAGCACTTTAATCAATTAAGCTCTTAATAAAGATATGTGCATGTTTCTAATTTAATTTTCACTGTTTTATATTGATATGTATACAGTAAATTAGATTATTTGAAATATATTAAGGTTAATGATAAATAATATAATCATTAGTTTAATTGTAAATAACAATAACCTAGTAAAGGTTAATACAATGTTAATGTATAGATACTTTTTTTTTTAATTCTTGATTGGATGAATTCATTAGATTTCTAAGGTTGATGTTAGTGCACAGATTATACCACCCTCTAATGTGTTATTTCTATATATTCATGTACTGTATTTGGGTAATTTATTTACTTACTGATTGCACCAATTATTACTTCAGTTATGTTTGATTGTCTTACATTATAAGGTTTCACTGTTTATATTTTTTTGTTATAAAGGTTATTACTTTATGTTTAACTTGTTAGATTGTGTAAATTGGTATGGCCAAATGATTAATTTGATTAAGTGATTTTGTTTGTATATATTTGTGTAGATGTAAGATGTGCCCATAATCATACCTGCTGAGTGAATGACAAATGAAAATGTTTCTAAATGTAGAACAAATGTTATGTATTTATCTTTACCAACTCTTAAAGGATAAGTTCATCTTTCATAACATGTTACATGTTGGGTGTAACATGTAACATGTTATGAAAGGACCTACTCTGCTCCTCTCCACTCCTCTGCTTTGACAGCTAGCGGGGGATCTTCTCCCCCCACTAGCTGTCAAAATTTAAAATAAAAGTGGCCACACCTACCCGACCACATCATTCATTCACAGTCCTTTATGAATGAGAAAACTACAAGTTCCGACAGTCTTAGCGGCTGTCGGCTTGTAGTTTTCAATGAACTGCCACGGCACTGTGAGCACTGTGGTAGTTAGTTGTTTTCTTCCTGCCAGAGTGTATCAGCTTGCTCATATGGGATGTATGGGCAAACAGATATGCTGACAGATCTGCAGGAGGCTCCAGAGATCTGCTGATTGCTAGTGCAATACTTTAAAGACTCCTGCAACAAAAAGTAATAAATGCACACTTTTACTTGCAAAAAAGGTTAAATTATTATTTTTTTTTTTTTCAAAAGGTGAACTTATCCTTTAAATGTAGTGGTTGCAGTTGTCTTTTCAGGATTTTTTTCTTTATTTTAATCTTGTGATTATACTGTTAAACAGGTTGCCCTGAGATAGGAAATGTGTTAAGACTACAAATGATCTCCACATCTGCTCAATTCCATAACATTGGGGGAAGGTGCTCTGTAGTTCAGAGTTGAACTCGGCAGGGCCTATGACACTGCTTGATATAATACTGTAGAATGCACAGAAAGTTGTAAATTTATTGAATTTGTAGCAGAATCAGCTTTTTTTTGCACTCTTGACAGATTAAAAAAATCTTTCAACTCTATATTTTACAGTCCAAAAGGGGCAAATATGGGAAATTCATTGTTAGGTTTTTAATACACTTTATAGTTTTATAGCCAAAACTTTTAGTTTCAGATATAGAGTAAAAGAGTTAAACTCATTCAGGTTTTATTACTGTTTTTCTCCCCACAAAAATTCACTCTCTTTATTTCTTCTGCTTACCATTTACACTGAGAAAGAATGTGATGGGAAATCCAAAATGTTATTAGTATCACCAGAGAACATTATTCTTCCATTTGTGACAATGGTGACACCAATTCCTCTGATACCTGTCTTAGAAGGGAATTCTCCTGCCTTTGCAGTTGGAAATCTTCAAAATGTGATACAGACAGCCAAAAATCTGACTTGCAGGTGTATTCAGGCTATTCCTTATCTAGCCAAGAAAGGTGACCCTTTAGTGAAAAAATTTGTATTTGATCATTCATTTGTCAAAAAAAGGCAAATACTAGTTTTACAATATACCTCACTAAACACTGTGAGATGCCTACTGATGTTTTGATGTTGATACATAGGCTTTATTTTCTCCAACCAATATTTGCCAAAATGTTCAACTTTTGTGTCCACAAAACATAAAGGCCTGAGCCATGTGCAATATAATATACTGTATATATGATAAAGCTTTAGACAAACTGCATATTTTTTAAACAGTAATCTTGATCAGTGTTTTTTGTTATTTTATCTTTATGAACACAAATGCAACAATTTCTTGATCCTTACCTCTAGGCAGCACAGTCCTATGGAGTATAGCAACAATATTGATTTCCTTTCATTTGTTAACTGGTTTCCAGATTATAGAATGATGGAGACCATTTCCAATCTTATGATCTTCAATAACTCTTCTTTTAAGAACCTCTGAAATTATGCTTGATTGAGCAATATGCACTTTACAAGATTTATGTTTTGAAGAGCAGAATTGTTGTTTCTTTCTTATAAATCACAGGAAAACTGAATTGATTGAAACATCTGACTCATTGATTGGAATACCTCACTTTACCTTTATTTAGTGTTGTTTTATTAGAGGCATACCTATATTATCCAGCAGTATATAGTACTTGAATGCTCAAACCAATTGTTCACTCTATACAGTGCCATATACACCGTTGAATGAGTTGAGTTTTAAATAGGATTTTCTCTTTATATTGTGCTAAGAGTGAAACTCAAATTACAGCTTTGCAAGAACTTTGCATGATAAACCAGCAGGGGTATTATTGGTTTGCTGTAGAACATGCATGTTCAAACTTTTGCTTTAGGTGTACACTGGACATGGTAATGTCAGCACCCATAAAGGTGGGCTTTTAAAAATGCTAGGTGTGCACAATCATAATAAGCAAGAACCTGACCATAGTGCAGGGTTCCTGTAAGGAGAGAGGTGTGTGCTCCAGCCAGGGGACAGGAATACTCCAAGTAGAAGGGGTACTCTACTCAGGAGACAGTGCAGCACATATTGGAGAGATTCCTTGCACACAGGACTGGGGGAGTTGGGACAGCTAAGCAAGTCTGGACTAGGAGAGCTGAAGTGACTAAGCCAGTCCAGGGGACCAAGTAAACCTAGAGGTCTCAGAGGAGTGAGGGGGCTTGGGGTGCCAGGAGTTCTCCTACTGAGAGGCCAGGGAGTGGGCCTGTGCAGCTGGCTGCTAGAACTAAAGGCTGAAGTAGCCATGAGAGTCTTGACAGCTGAGAGAGTTGGGCCTGAAGGATCCTGACAACAGCAGTGGAGCTGCTGAAGAAAGAGCCACGTGGCTTGGAATTTTTGTTATCTGTTTTGGTAGTGAACTATTTTGTGGACTTTACATTTGCTTTGTTTAATAAAATTAGACCGGAAAGCACTTAATCATAATTAGGACTGGACAGGACTCACTGAAGCGCATCTAACACTGAGCTAAACAACACCCAAATCCAGTAGCTTTTAACCAATTGCCCTCCAAAGGACTTACTTTTTGCGATACGGAGCTGCTTTACTTTAACTGACAATTGCGCATTCATACAACACTGCACCCAAATTAAATTTACGTCCTTTCTTTTTCACAAATAGAGCTTTCTTTCGGTGGTATTTGATCACCTGTGCGTTTTCTATTTTTTGCACTATAAACAAAAAAACCCAACAATTTTGAAAACAAAACAATATTTATGGCTTTTTGCTATTAAACATGTCCAATAAAAAAATTTTAAAAATCAAATTTCATCATAAATTTAGGCCAAAATGTATTCTGCTACATGTCTTTGCTAAAAAAAGTATCCCAATACGTGTAAATGAATTGGTTTACGTGAAAGTTATATCGTTTACAACTGGATTTTGTTTTACTAGTAATGGCGGCAATCAGCTACTTATAGCGGGACTGAGGCAGGCATTCTGACACTGGGGGAACTGACTTGGTGTCACTGACATCCCTAGTGACACCAAAACAGTGATCAGTGCTAATATAAAGCACTGCTGACACTGTACTAATGGCGTTGGGCATGGAGGGGTTAACATGTAGGGCGATCAAAGGGTTAAATGTGTGCTGTTTTACTATGTGGGCTGTGTGTGTGTGCTTCACTGTAAGCACACTGCTTTGTAGGGCTCTGTTATGCAGAGCCCTACAAAACAGTGTGCAGGAACTGACAGGGGAGAGATCTGCGTTGTTTACATACATGTCTCTCCACTGTTGGAAATCCTCGGAGATGTCTGGTTCCCAGTGAGGAATCGCCGGCGGGACCCGGTGATTGACAGCTGAAGCCGCAAATGGCAGCGCGTGTAGGAATTCATGAATTTTTATGTTTACTTCCGGAAAACTTGTGAATAATTGCAAAATAACATTTTCATATTTAATTAATTACTTTTACAGTGTTTTTGTGTATTTGTTTTTTTTTTTTTAATTATCTGGCACCTTACTGGTATGTCACTGTTTTGGAAGGGTTATATCTGCAGCAGCAGCAATGACTAAGATATATTTGATGTGGCTTCAAGACCAACATTTCAAATAACACAAATTTGTTCACATAACACGTTTTGGAGATGCCTTAGAACTGCATGTGCTGTTACAAAGCAGTACAATGTAGATATATGAAATAATATTTAATTAAAAAAAACTCTTCTATTCAAAACAAACATTTATACTGGTATGCAACCTGAGTAGTCAGGTAAACGGGATGGAATCAAGCATGCAGCACCCCTTCCTATAAAAACCATTCCACTTACTTTCCAAATGGCAACATGTCCCCATGAGGTGGGCGGGACCTGTATGATGACATCATGCTGAGAGGGACCAGGCACCATCTTGCTGAACTGACAGCTATATTGTGTATCTGCATACTGTGGAAGATTTACCTTTATTGGAGGCACATGAACTGTGGTGGCTGTTTTTTTCTGGATGCTTACAACCAAATTGGATGATATATGGGGCTGTTTTCATGTTTTTTATTTTTTTCATGTATTTACTGTACACAGTACATGATGATTATATATAATTAATGAGCAGTGTTGTGTACGTGCACATTCTGAGTCAACATTTGGTAATTTTGGATCACTGCACAGTTATTGGATATACATTTATTGAGATTAGTGTGGTGATTCCACTGTTGATGTTATTATTTTAATTTAATTTATTTTATTTTTTGGGAGTGTATTATTTATAATAATAGTGTGGGATTTTACACTTATTGTTTTTTCATGAACATTCCACTACCAATAAATCATTTCATGAGCATAGAATTTGCTTGTTAATGTGACATTGATGCATGATCATTTCAGTGAACCAGGCTACTCTGAACTTATACTATAATGGACAAATAGGTGTCAAAGTCTTCATGTGTGAGTATAACCTGCTCAGAGGACTGAACAATTAGACTGGCAGCTGCTAGCAAAATCACAAATGTGTACCAGTGAACAAATATGTGAGTGTAAACATAAAAATTGCTGCGCTGCCTCTCCCAAAAACTACTTTAAATAAATAAATAAATAAACTCCCTACCAGGGGCGGACTGACAACTCATGGGGCCCCCGGGCAATAGGGGATCACAGGGCCCCTGTGTCCTTGCCCAAACTCAAAAAAGCCTATGAAAAAGGTACCAGGGGCACCTCATGTGGCCCCTTACTGACCCCGGGCCCTCGGGCAGTGCCAGAGTTTCCAAATGGTCAGTCCACCCCTGCTCCCTACTACACAAAAAGTTCCCAAAATGTTCATATACTATACTATACTATACTATACTATAATGCCCCGAGGGCTAGCAATTATATCTCTCCTCCAGGGTGACTAAGTCCTAAATGAACTAATGTGTGAATACAAGGTGCTTAGACATCAATAGTGCTAAAAATAGCACATATACAATGCCATAAAACTGTGTATACAATGAAATAGTATAAAACAATATATATATATATTCCAATAATTGTTCAAACATATGAAAGTTCCAAAAAAGTTGAAAGTTAAAAGAAACCCCAAAGAAACCCTCATCCGCATTCGGTGTGAATATTAAATCTTAAAATTAAAAGTACGAAATCTTCTTATCCATAGCAATTCCCTGTTCATAGTGCCCAATTAGTGCTCCCCCTCCAGAGTCCCACTCACCAAAGATAACTGACCACCTGGAATGGTAGGTCAAATAACGCATAAGATGTTGCAACTCTCTTCTGCAGGAAAGTTGGCCGTCTGTGTAGTCTGTGTGGCACTATTGAGGTCTAAGCACCTTGTATTCACACATTGGTTCATTTAGGAGTTAGCCACCAGAGAGGAGGAATATAATTGCCAGTCCTCGTGGCATTATAATATGTGCACATTTATGGGGACTTTTTGCGTAGTAGGGAGTTTATTTATTTATTTAAAGTAGTTTTTGGGAGAGGCAGTGCAGAAATTTTTATGTTTAAAGTCTCTTCATGTTCATGCAAACTATGTGTGAAAGTCTCTTCATGTTCATGGATTAGGGTATAGGTCTGTAGTAGGCTTAATACGTAGGTTTAGAAATTGGTTTTAGACAGCTGCAAACCGTGATTATGCCTTGAGTAAATATTTAGTATATTGTATTTCTAACAGAAAATATTCCAAGTCTACAAGATCAAGTATTTCTATAAGTAGTTTTACTTTTTTTTTTTAAATTACAGTTTTTAAACCTGATTGTATATTAATTTGTTTCATACAAATGGAAACACTACCCATTTTTGGTAACTCATATCCAGTTGTCTTGTAGCCTGTGTCCTTCATGAGAAATCTTTAACGTTACCACTTTGCATCTGCATAGTTCATATCCTAATAAAGACTACGCACTTCTGTTTGCTGCTTTTTTCAATTTCTTTTAGCATGTAAATTCCCAATAAGTACCTTACAGTTATTATTTTTTATATGCATTCCTACCCACACAAATTTCACAATTTTCACAAATATTATCTTTTACAGCGGATGTTTTGCTTTGTCTTTTTAAGGTCACTATGTGGTAAGGCAGGGAAGCATTAAAACCTCTGTAGTGCATTCATGTATTTTACTAAACAAAATGCTATACATACAATTGTAGAAAAAACAAAGAATACAAAGACATACAAAGAATTACAGATATACACATAACACACATGCACATGTTACCTACCTAACTTCCTAGTGAATGAGCATGAACACTAGTCTTTTTACAATAGGAATATGCTGAAGATTAATTAGCTCAGGCTATAGTAGCGTCATGATCTCTGTGGGCAACCAGGACCCCAGGCTCTAATCTATGTGCAATTGCAGGAAATCTGGTGCTGATGTCATCCCCAGGTGATTTATTTCTTATGATCCTGTGAAGCCCCCTCTGGCACAGACTTTCTTTGTTGTTATCTTGTTATGGAGTCCTCAAAACCACTTAAGCTTCTTTGTGTTCAGTACATGGCTATGTTCAAGTCCTCTCTCCCACTACGTCCTGCCAAAATCACTTCCTGTACCATGAGATCTATGAAACCAAATGGGTTCAATAGTATACCAATAGGGGAAGTCTAGCTTCTAAAAATAATACATGATAACTAAAATGCATCATTCCATATACAGTATTTATACAAAAATTGTCATAGCAACATAGGTGGACTCAGCAAGATTAGAAAAAGAAGATAACCCATTTTCCATTCTTGCATTTTTATTCTTTCTAAAACACTGTAGCATTCCAAACTCATTATCCAGGCATAGTTTTAATCTAAACACTATATCATAATCTTTGTCTATCATCAGCAACTCCAGTTCATTAATTTTGTTTTTGAGCCCTCTTGCATCTGCTAACATACATTTAAAATTTTTACTACCACAGCATTTTAGCAAACATTTTTATTATTTTGTCACATAAAGTTCAAAAGTTGCAAACTAAATGGAGACCAAGGCAAATAGTTACGTAAGCATAAGAATCCAATATAGGAAAGCCTGGAATGTCTTTTTTTATAGATGGATAGATTTTTATTAGATATTTTAATCTCCAGGGAGCCACTGCACTCAGAACATCTTACGAGTAACTGAATAACTCTTTAAAATCTAAAATGTACACCCCTGTTTATAGACTATATATTAGTTTCAGTTTTAATGTAAGTCACACATACCTGAGGTACATGCAATAGGAATAATCAGGGAAAATATTTTGTAGTAACGATAAGAGCTAGAATACGTAAGTTAATATTATATAAAACTGTGTTTTTTTTCACATTTCCTGTTTATTTTAAAACTTGTGTAGAGTTTTATTCTTCTGAGAATATATTTATTTATTTTAAAATGGTTTAGAACATTTTATACAGTATTATTTTATAGAATATCAAAGTAGCGTATTTACAAAAAATCCAAAAAAGGTATTGTGAAAACATTACAGTATATAAATAGTGACAATTCTATTTAGTCTGAGACTGTTATACCATTGTAATATCATTGTTATATGATTGTATACCATTATACCATGGGCTCATATAACATTTAGTAATAAAAAATACATTTTTAACCAATTGTTTGCATGTGAGATTACTGTTGCTCTTATAATACTTGTTATATTGACCGGTATAATAATATGACAAAATAATGGTAAGAGAAATAGAATATATAATGAAGGTGCGTATTAATGGGAATAAAATATAAAGAATGATCCCACCCCTTAGTTATTGCTATAAAGAAGAAAAAAACAAGACATTTGCCACCCTCCACCTCATCTGCTCCCCCAAGGCCTCTAGTTTAGTTCTGGGATATTAATATTCCCAATCCCCTAGAAGGTCTCATTATTAAACTTGCATATATGTAGTGCAGGTTACCCACCGATCTTGCAAAGATTTCCTTTTTATCATTATGCTAGCAAATTTCTCATGTATCATCTATCCAGGATATTTTGTTTTTCATGAAGTCTAGGTTCACCATTAGTGCTTTCCATGACTTAGTGATTGCTATTTTAGCAGCTAAAAAAATTAAAGAAAATAGGTCTCTGAAAGGACTAGATATTAACCACTTGCCCTCTAGAGCAGCAATGGGCAAACTACGGCCCGGCGGACCTTTTAATCCGGCCCGCGGAGCTAGGCTCCCGCTAGGCTCCTCTCACAGTCCGCCCTGAAGACCGGTGTAGCATGAAAATCTGTCCCCTCGACGTATCTGCGCATGTGCCGGAGATCGCCGATCGGCTGCTAATGCCTGAAACTGGCACATGCGCAGATACGTCGAGGGGGACAGATCCTCATAGGAGACAGATTTTCATGCTACACCGGAACGGCGCGGGAACACGGCGAGAGGAACGCGCGGAGCAAAGGTAAGTGAATTGACACAGGGGGGACTTGGGGACTTAATATGGGGGATGAATTAATATGGGGAATGAATTACTATAGGGGGGATGAATTACTATATGGGGGATGAATTACTATGGGGGATGAATTACTATATGGGGGATGAATTACTATGGGGGATGAATTACTATATGGGGGATGAATTACTATATGGGGGATGAATTACTATGGGGGATGAATTACTATATGGGGGATGAATTACTATATGGGGGATGAATTACTATAGGGGGGATTAATCACTATATGGGGGATGAATCACTATGGGGGATGAATTACTATATGGGGGATGAGTTACTATATGGGGGATGAATTACTATATGGGGGATGAATTACTATGGGGGATGAATTACTATATGGGGGATGAATTACTATGGGGGATGAATTACTATATGGGGGATGAATTACTATGGGGGATGAATTACTATATGGGGGATGAATTACTATATGGGGGATTAATTACTATGCTTACTATGGGGGAATATTACTATACTTACTATGGATGACACATACACATCATTCATCTACTCTTGGTCCGGCCCCCGGGTCCAATATATGAACCCATTGCGGCCCTCAAGTCAAAAGGTTTGCCCACCCCTGCTCTAGAGGATTTACCCCCCCCCCCCCCCTTCCTGACCAGGCCATTTTTTGCTATACGGCGCTGCGTTACTTTAACTGACATTTGTGCAGTCATGAAACGCTGCACCCAAATGAAATTTACTGTATTTTTCACTCCATAAGACGCACCTAGGATTTAGAGGAGGCAAACAAGAAAAAAAATATTCTGAACCAATGGACTGCATACATAGTACAGGAGATGACCAGAGACTGCAGACATAGTACAGGAGATGACCAGAGACTGCGGACATAGTACAGGAGATGACCAGAGACTGCGGACATAGTACAGGAGATGACCAGAGACTGCGGACATAGTACAGGAGATGACCAGAGACTGCGGACATAGTACAGGAGATGACCAGAGACTGCGGATATAGTACAGGAGATGACCAGAGACTGCGAACATAGTACAGGAGTTGACCAGAGACTGCGGATGTACTACAGGAGATGACCAGAGACTGCAGACATACTACAGGAGATGACCAGAGACTGCAGACATAGTACAGGAGATGACCAGAGACTGCAGGCATAGTACAGGAGACGCCCAGAGACTACGGACACAGTACAGGGAATGACCAGAGACTGCAGACACAGTACAGGGGATGACCAGAGACTGCGAACACAATACAGATCTCTAGCTGGTCTAAAACCGCTTTTGACCTAAAGGGATGCTTTTTGGACGCTATGGACTTTTCTAAGTTTCCAGGCAGAGAGAACAGTAAAAATGCAGGCAGGGCACAGGACAAAGCACTCGGGACAAAATGTATGTGAAATGCTTTGATACAGTAATGTTTTACTATGTGATTCTAGTGTATTGAGTGAATGTCACTTTTCAAATTTTTTAATTTCCTGCCGGCTCCGTCCGCCTTATGTCCTGTACGTCCCGACGCTCACAGGGAACGGAACCCGGAAGACGGATGCCGGCATCGGCCAGAGGAGATGGCCGGGAACGCTGCAGGGGAGACATCACGGGAGCAAAGGACAAGGTAAGTGCAAGAGGGAATCCCTGAGCAACGCTGCAGGGTAATCCGGAGTGTAGCTCGGGGTTACCGCGTTTAGTACTGAAAGTTAACCCCAAGCTACACTCGGGAATACCTCCAGGGAGGTTAAAGTGATACTAAAGTATTTTCTTAAATGACAAGCATGTTAACTGCTCTGTGCAATGGTTTTGTGCAAATTCGATCCTCCTCTTTCTCTGGTCTCCCGCAGGCACTCCTGGCTCCTCTCCTATGCTGAGTGCCCTCATAGCAAGCCACTTGCTTTGGGGGCACTCATGCATGCACTCTCCCAATCCTTTGACACACAGAACGGAGCCCCTCTGTCTCCACACTGGCTGTGACAGCAACAGGAGCCAATGGCCAATGAGGAGGGAGAGATCCGGGAGAGCAGCTGTACTTGTGCACATCGCTGGATCAAGATCATGCTCTGGTAAAAATAAGGGGGATTGGAACCTACACACAGGAGGTTTTTTACCTGCATGGATAAAATGAAGAGTCAGGATACATTTTTGTAAATCTGCTTGGTAAGAACTTTATAGTTTGTCTTCACCATGAACAAGTATAGAACACCTTTAGTCTATAAATCAATTCTTATCACTCTTCAATGTCACTAACCTTTTTCCCACACCAAAAGGTGTGCTAATCTGTTCAAAGAATTGAGTAGTTGAATGTATAGAGAGGGAATAGATCCTCAGGAGTCTTGATAGCAGACACACCAGAAATTGAAAGCTGTCACACTGACCACATCTGTGAAACTATTTTTCGTATGAGACATTTCTAACTTGTCTCGTAGGTGTGTGGTCATTGGATATGCACTGCATACTCCTGTCTCTAATTTTATCCAATCAGGAGAATATGTAGTAGAACTTAAAGCAGAGAGATGTGCTATTTGTGCTGTAATAATCTTTTATTTGTAAGACTCCAAATCCTAGGATATTGCAAGACAGTCTGCATCTCCTAGATCGCCATATAATGTTGTAGAATTTTTAAAATTAATTATAAAGAGAAAGTCTGAAAGTACAAGTTCACCTTTTGAAAAAAATAATAAATTGACATTTATTGCAGTTAAAATAATGTGCATTTATTATTTTTGGCTCCAGGAGCCTATAAAGCATTGTACCAGTGATCAGCAAATTGCTGGTACCATGCAGGTTTCCTGCAAACCTGTCAGTATATCTGCTTGTCCGTACGGGATGTACGGGCAAGCAGATGTACTGACAGGAAGATTCAATGAACTACCATGGTGCTCCACAGTGTCGTGGTAGTTCATTGAGAACTACAAGTCAACAGCTGCTAAGGCTGTTCCCCAAGGTGAAAAGATTATTCTTTAAAGTTTCCTTAATGTGGAATACTGCTTTAAACAGTCAAGTAAATTGATACTGCTGCAGTTTTTTTCAAGGCTTCAATTACTTATGAGTTAGGAGCCAATAAACAAATAGGGAACAGGAAACACAACATTGGGTTTGTAATGTATTTAAACCTAAGAACTAAATTTTAATATATTGACGTTTACAATCCTTAGATCACTGCTATAGCTTTTTTAAATACATTTTTCTTGTGTTTTCAACTGGATGATCCAGCCAATAACAGATCTGCTTTATTAGGGTGGCTACACTCACTGCTGCGCTGTATCTGTTAAGAATTAGCAAAGCCACCCTTGGAAAGTAGCACTGTCAACCTGTGTATAGGGTAGTGTTAGATGGACTAGTAGATTTAGACTTTGCATAAGAGACTAACAAATTAAGGTCTAATACTTTTGAAGCAGTTACAACAACATGATTTTCATTTCTCTTGAATAAGGGGTGTTAATTATATTAATAATTCTAATCATTTTAAGCGCCCTTTTCAATATAACATTGTTTGTCTCAACCCTCTAACTGCCATTTTTTCTGGACAGCTTGGTCTATTGGAGATAGTTGCAAAATAACAGACTTAAAGGCATTTCTCACTTTGCCTGGATTTTCTCTTAAAGGAAAGCTACGGGAAAGAGAAGCATAGACTGATAATGTTTGGGACAAAGTTTTGTAATTTTCAGGTTACTGTTCTCAAATGCCATCGTGTTTAAGGAACCATTTTGTCTCTGGAGTTTGAGGATCAAATTGTGAATCAGGTGTAAGGATCAGCTTGCCTTCACTTAGGCTGTAATGCTTATCTACTCCATCAGAAAGCAATAGTGGGCATGTTGTGAAACTAATGTTTTTTGTTTGTTTTTTTGTTTTGAATTGAGTGAAAAGGAGTTAGAAACTCTATATGGTTTTATTGCTGTCTGTGGGTTATTCACCCTCTCTATTTGTCCAGGTCACCACTGTCACTCAGCCTAAAACTATGGGAAAATCCAAAATTGTGACCCAACCAAACAGGAATTGAGTGGGGATCTTCCAATGGAGGAACTTATTTTGGTGACAATTGTTTGAGAGGGGATTTTACTTTTTTTGGAATTAATCATGACAATGTACTTTGGACCCTTTTGCTTCCAGCACCATTTTGGCATTTTTTTTTTGCATACAAAAAATAATTTTAGGCCTGAAGATTAATGAAATCCACAAGCAATATACATTTTCTGAAAGCAGGCCCCCATTTAGAATGAAACAATGGTAGTTCCAATTTTTGTCACATAATATTTGTGCAGTGATTTATAAAGTTTTTCAGTAAGATATATACTAAAGTTTTATACAGGCACCTGTACTGGAGAGGAGAGCTGTACTGCGGCAAAACTGTACTTTGGGAGAGTGATGTACTGGGGAGGATTCTATAACAGGGGATATGTACTGGGTGCATTTGTACAGGGGAGATCTAAACTGGGGAAGAGCTGTACTGGCTGGAGGTCTGTACTGGGGGAGAGTTATACTGAGGTATCTATACTGAAAGGGAAATGTACTAGTTGAGGATATCTGTACTGGGAGGCTGTATGGTAGGGGGAATTTGTACTGGGGGAGAGCTTTACTGAATGAGATGATCTGTACTTGTGGGGAGGGGGCTGTAATAGGGTTCTGTACCGGGGGAAAACTGTACTGAGGGGGACCTGTACTGGGGTAGATTTGTACTTGCAGAAGGAAGATCTGTACCGAGAGATATTTGTATTGGCGGGAGATGTACTTGGGTGGGAGCTGTAGTAGGGGAAGATCTGTACTGGGTAGGAGGAAGATCTATACTGGAGTGAGGGGGGGGGGGGAGTGGGGAGATATCAGTAATGGTGATGTAGGGGGTTTATGGGTGGACTTTTAAAGAATCCTATAATATATCTATAATAAGGGGGATTGATATTCATCTGCTACCAGGAGAATAAATACAAGGGTACATTAGTACTCCTTACCCATTCCTGCAAAGAGTTAAATGTAAATAAACACACCCACACCTTGAAAGGGTCCTTTAATGACATAACAATAAATAATACAATTAAAAAATTGTCACTAATGCTCTCCCCACAGGGCCAATCGATGTCAGTTATGTCATTCTGCAACTTAAATTCATTGAACATCACAGAGTCTAGACTAATAAATTTTCATCAGTAACAACAACCCGCCACCCGATGATGTTTCTCTGCCGCTGTTCTAATACTATATGACAGATCACTGGCAGTGCTGTAATGTAAACACAGTGCCATAAATTGTGGGTGATGTAATTGACAAATTATAGGTAATCACACCAGAGATCTGGGTGGGTGAATTGGCTCAAGTCCAACCCTAACTCAAATCTTATATCTACATCTGATAAAACAAGGAGGGCACATTAGAGAATATACTTTTGCAATGAAAAGAACTGAAACATAGTTTATTAAATTAGATGTAAACTATCAATGATTAAAATCTCATATAAGCTTTAACATGATAATACCACTTGGAAAATATATATTTTAAAACAGTTTTAATCAATGGCTTGTAAGAAAATAACTGTCACTGATACTGACATAAAGGTTTTTGTTTTTGTTTGGCACTTTGTGCCATGCAGTGATAACTGATTATAAAAATCATTGTTTAGGAGCTTTGGTTATTAGGTGAAAATGTTCTCCTCCTGTCTCCCACAATCTCCAGCCTGTAAGTTTCCCTGCCACAGGCTCTCCCAAAGGCAGCTATAGACTGCTGTAAATTGACAAGGCTTATTCCATTGATGTCACTATTTAAAAAAGTCCTGTAAAAAAAAAAAAAAACCATGACATTTAGTAAGGGGTCACTTCTACTTTGACAGACCTGACAGTGGCAAGCTCTACAGCATTCTTTCCCTATACAGTTTGTCATCAACGCTCTCTATGCTTTCCCTATTACAGATAGAGCACAGATAAAGCACATTGGGAATATGGCTGGCTTCTAAAAGCCCCAGTATTGACCCTTCTAATCTAAGCTGTGCCAGGCCAGACCAAGCAAAACTTGAAAAAAATAAATATAATGTCTATATATATATATATATATATATATATATATATATATATATATAGTATACTGTATATACAAAATGATGTGACCTAATTTTAGAAGAAACCCGGTAATAAATATTATGAGAGGAAGATGGGGAATCCACATAAACAAGGACTTAAGGAGATTTCAGAATACATCAAAAAGCCCAGGAATTGCTAGGTCCACAAGCTATGCATAAAATGAAAAAATGCCTGTTTGGCCACAGAGAGCTAAATATGTTTGCTTAGAATATACAAATAGTTTAGTACAGGACAAATGCAAATATTTGCAGTAAGACCTATAGGCAGCTGCAATATTGGTGCCTTCTCATGACACCAGCTATGAGTAAGTTTCCTGGTTTCTCTATAACTTTCCTTCTGGATCCACTTTGCTTTGT